GTGTGTATTGCTGGTAGAGCTAGGTCTGTCTTCCACTGTCTCTCTAACTATGGTCTTTAGTCTTAATATTCTAAGGGCTGCAATGTTTTTTATCCTTAGATGAATCGGGTGACTTTCCTCAAACGGCCAAATCCTAAGCCCTTGTCTATTTTCTGTCTAAGTGAATGGGGGGGGGGAGGAATAATCCCGGGGGGTATATTCTTGGCGGAAGGTTATTCAGTATAAGGGGGGTTTAGTAGGTATGGAATAAACAGGCGGGGTTGGTGGTAATTCTTCGGTGGATTGGAAGGAGTTTGGGTGGGGGGGAAGCTGGGGGATGTACAGAGTATAAGTTTTCCTACGTAGAGGTTTGGCTTTGGGTGTGAGGGAGGTGACTGGTTGAGTAGTGTTTGGGCTGTTTTTTGTGGAGTTGCAGGGAGGTTAGTAGGTGATGTTAAGTGTTTCCAGGTGTTTTGATGTTATATTGTGACGTCTGCTCTATCTTGTAGACTGAGGGGGTCTGTTTCTGGGTTGTTGATCTGTGGGCTTATTGTGTCTCTGATCGGTTTTTGTAGGTGCTAGGTTCTGATGGTTAACCAGTCCTTCATTACTAGTTTGTTTTTTTCTATGGTGCCCCAGTTTCCTCCTCCGAGCTTCGAAGCGGGTGGTTTTCTATCTGTGTTTGGGTCCTCTTCCATAGGGCATGTATTTCGGTTTCTATAGTTTGCTTGATGTTTATAAGTGGGTTTTCTGGGTTAGTAAGGCTATCTTCAAAAGTCTTTTCACACCTTCTTTTCCAGATAGTCCACAGGGTTGCCTTTCTTATTTGTGAGAAGAAAAATAATTCAAAGCCCTTGAGGGTAGGGGTTTGTTCTATATCCAGGAGTATGGTGCCAAGGTTTATTTGTACATTTCTGCTAGAGTGTCTGCCCCAGGTTTTCTCAATGTCGAGCCAGAGGGTGTGGGATTTTTCACATTCGAGAAAACAATGATTTAGAGTTTCAATGGCTTCTAAGTTGCAAACTTTGCACCATGAGGAATGTTCGGCTCTGTCTTCTTTTCTTCTTCTTTGTGCTAGCCAGTCGTTTACTGGGACTGCTCTGAAAGTAATGAGCCATAGTAGACTTCCTAACAAAAGAAAAACGAGAATTTTTTCTCGTTTTTCTTTCTTCTCGTTTTTCTTTTCTTAGGAATACGTGCACTGGCCCTAAGAGCCTCTACTCACAGCATGCACAAAAGACAAAACATATGGCGGCGTATTATTCCATGTTCTGTGGAAGATTCATTCTAGTTTTGCACATTTGGTGAGTAGTGCAGCCAAGCCCTGAGAATCACATGCAGAGACCAACAAGGCCTAGCTAAGTGAGCAACCCATAACTGCTGAAACCGAGATGCACAGACCTGAATTTGAATCCAGACTATATAATCTTGGCCCATGCTTACAAACTGGAAGTTTGAAGTGTACCTCTGTTACACGTGGGATCCTAGCTAATTAGTTGTAAGGGCCTGTAGGGGCCCTTCGGAAAAGAGGCTGGACACAATTAAAACAGGAATACTCACATGTATAGACATGTGCCCACAGTTTTGGGGTATGGCGTGGCCCCGGATTTTGTCCCTCTTGCTTTCTGATTTTTAAAAGCGAGGGGGATGTTTGGCCACCCCACCCTGTCCTTTCAATTTTTTATTTTTTATTTATTTTTGGTGAAGCGCCGCATCACGTGCGCGCGCGTGCATGCGTGTGCGCCATACTTGCGGCGCATTTGTGCGCTGCGCCATGCGCTGCACATGCGCGTTGTGCCATGCGCACATGGCTGGTGCGCGCGCACCGTGCGCATGGCGCATAGGTGCGCTATATGCGCATGCGCGCGGTACTCATGCGTCGTGCGCTGATGCGCGCGCACCTGCGGGCCATGCACTAGGGTGGTGCGCCAGATGCGCTGCCTTTTTATTTTTTTTATTTTTTTTTTTGGTGCTTCCACCACCCGTTTGAACTCCGACTCATCGGAAAGGTTCCTTCCCCCCCTCTCTCTCTCTCTCTCTTTCTCTCTCTCTCTCTCTCTCTCTCTCTCTCTCTCTCTCTCTCTCTCTCTCTCTCT